CACTAGAGCGTCCATACTTACAAGTGTTATGTGGGGTGGGACGGGAACATTGTTGGTGGGTGATGAAAGTGGTAACAACTGATAAGGCTGATAAGGCGCGTCAGAACGCAAAAGTCGTCGATTCCGTTACCTGCTCGCGTTGACACTAGAGCGTCCATACTTACAAGTGTTATGTGGGGTGGGACGGGGACATTGTTGGTGGGTGATGAAAGTGATAGCAACTGATAAGGGCTGATAAGGAGCGCTAGTTTTAATATATTCAAACAATCAAATTTGAATATTTGACCTGAATCGGAGGAAGTGCCTAAAGACAGTTATAGAAGAGGGGACGAGACAATGGCACCGAAGAGTGCAGCATTGTCACTTGCTGGTACAGGAGAACAGTCATAGCACTATGAACTGAGCAGTGGTATATTGCAAAGGATGGTTTGAGGAGAAGAAGAGAGCGGGAGGGAAAGAAGGCGAGGGAATCTGCACAATCAGAAGCCGATGGGAACTCGTTCGTTGTCGGGTGATACGCCGTTCATTGTGAGGGACCAATTGTATACTATTTTTTGCTGGAAGGAGGGGGAGGGGCACAATACAAGGCAAAAGCTTCGAAATGAATACTAACACTTCTCCAGTGTGATACCAAGCAAACTTTGAAGTATTTTGTGGGTAGGCGTGAGATTGTTGTTAGGAGCTTTGCCAATGAAGAAGAAGAGGAAGAGGAACTACTACAAACATCCTAGGGGTCCTTAACAGGGTCTTTTGTTTTGGGCCATGAGAGTTTGGGAGCCATTTCAAGAGATATTGGGCGTTGAGGTTAGAGAAAGGCAGACGAGTTCGAGAGAGCATAACAGTGAAGAAGACACAGATCCCACCGGTGGACGTACCTGATCCGTGGAGTGGGCGCCGGCCCATTTTGTGAGCCTCTATCGTCCTTGCCATGCGTTTTTCCAGCGAAACTGGTCATTTTTCCGGGGTTGCCAAATTGGCAGTCTTATTCGCTGGAAGGATTAATGATCTAACTGCGGAATGTGCTTTTGGCCCCTCACTGTTTTGGAGTATGGCATACCCATGCCGTGAGTTACTGCTTTTGTGCTCATGCCAGTCAAAACAGTAATACCACTGACCCAGTACGACTCGTCGAGTGATGACACCAGTTTTTTGCTTCGAATTTTGGCATTTGAAGAGCTCCACAATAAGTCGGAGGTCGAAGAAAGGGAATTGTATCTAGAGGAGAGGCAGGTAGTCCTACATGGATGGGGACGATACGCGTTTTGCAGCAAGGAGTAAGCCCCTAGCGCTTGGCAGGGCCGTAACCGTGCCCAGTGCACCGACACCATTTTTCTGAAAAGCGATCCCGAGTCAGGCCGCCATGGATGGGTAACCCCTGCGGCCTGACTCTAGATCGCTTTTCAAAAAATCAATGTGGTCTCTTTTTTCATCGTAAGCTCCGCCTTTATTGGGGGATTCAACGACAATGATGGTGATCGAAGAAAGGGAACTCTACCTAGTGGAATGACAAGGGACCCCTTGAATATGCGGATCGGCTCGCAATTCGCAGCGGAAGATATGATGAAGATGCCCTCGGCTATCTAGCATGGCCATCCTCGTGGCGCTATCGCGCGGCACGCCCATCGGCTGGCTAACACTTGGTGCAGTCTCTAGCCGTTTAGCAGAGAGAGGCGTTAGCGTTGAAGGATTCTGCACCAATAAGAGTTGCATCAATGCGGAAATCAGCGGTCAAACGAAACACAAAACAAAAAGGGGTCCGCTCCTTTCTTGGGTCCTGAGCCGTCTCATGGTTTTCCCGTCTCATGGTTTTCCTTCATCCCGGCACCACTGATTACCTCTGTCTTAAAGACAAGGTCCGGAATTCTGATGGAAACTAGGCGCAACGATACGCAAACCGGAAGCAATGCACAACTTCTGGGATGGGTTTGACAAGGCCTAGGCGACAAGTCCCTAGGATGCACCGATGTAACACTTCCCATCCCCACTGTTTTTTGTAAGCGTAATAATACACCAGTTCGATCCCGAACATTCCCTTTGATTTTAAGGACTGCCCTCTAATCGTGTGCTTCTTTTAATTGGTTGAAGGCAAAGGGCACAAACAGATTAGAAGAGTGGATTGGAGAGCGGCTGCTGAAGTCCATAATTGGAACTTCGCTTTTCAATAAGAAGCTCTTGATGAACTGCACCCTGGCATTGCTTCCAAATGCTGCTATGCGCTAAATTTAGATCGTCGAAATCCATTCCAAAAAGCTAAATTTAGGGCCCATTGTCCTTTTACTGGGCTGCTTTCTTTCGTCAATGAGGAATGAGGAAGAATTTCTGGCCTCGTGCAGTGAAGATTCAAAGATAGTTCTGTCTAATGTGGAATGCTGGGAGTGGGGAATGTTCAGGGATAAAAGGCACCGCATTCCACTCGGGATCGAATCCCAGCAAGGTCATCACAGTTTCTTCCCCTCGAAGTTGCATAATTCAGAGTTCCTGGAAGGGAAAAACATGCGAAACGTTCTTTCTTTTCTCCTATTTTCATGCTGTAAACCTGAGCAAATCGTATGGAATAATTCCCATAAAATTGGAGCATTCTGTACGAAAAAAAAAAATGTTTTGCGCGTTTTTTTTCTAAGTGCAATAGGTTTTTTTAGTTTTCTTTTGATTTTTACGCTTAATTAATTGTTTACAGGTAATCGAAAGCCATGGCGAGGTATATTGTTGTTCGGTCCACCAGGTACGGGTAAATCGTACATCGCGAAAGCGGTGGCAACAGAAGCCGACAATTCGACGTTTTTCTCTGTTTCGTCATCAGATCTCATGTCAAAATGGCTTGGCGAATCGGAGAAGTGAGTGAACTTGCGCCTCATATGTTTTCAATTATACATAGTCTTGAGAATCGTTGTCGCAAGATATACTGAGGGGGGGGGGGGGGAGGGGAGGGGAGAAGGGATTGGGGTGGGAGCGCCGCCGAAGGTTGTCTCATATGTTTTTAGTGATAGTTCTGCAGGTCATGTTGAATAGCTGAACACATAGTCAAGCGGGATAGGACCAAAAAGTCATGTTGCTCATTGTGTGCATCATTGACGTTGACGTCCCACGGAGTGGCCGGCATTTGTGAGGTCGCCAAAGGGGAAAATCTCGTTTAGCTGCGAGCGAGCCGCTGTTCACCGTTTACCGGAATACAGAATTTCAAAGTTGTTTGTCTTCATCGATTATTAACCCATAACGGACGGCGTGCGCCACAAGGTGGCGCACGACTATTTCTTTTGTTTTTGGAATGTTTCTAGCAATCTTAAATATACCCATATATACTCTCAGCAATGTGGAATAACATATCTTCCCAGGACCTGGACGGCTGGATTTTTGACAAACCTACAATAAATTTTACATACATTTTGTCTTAATTTACATAAGTTTACTATTTGATGGGTGGCTTACCCATGGTTCGCACGTCCCGAGACCCCTTCCCCTAAATATAGCCACATCCTTGCTCGGGGTTGTTGTTTCGCATTTTTCGATAATGTCACCTACAGCTTCCATTCATTCTTTGCACCCTAGTTTTAGAGCGGAAAGGCGGGCTACGAACTTGTCGTCAACGGAAATCTCTTTTTTCGGATGATGAGACTCCGACACCTACTTTAGCCCCGTCTTACCCCTGCTGTTCACATAAGCCTACATAAACCCTACCCTGGGTGGCGGCGTGCGCCACATGGTGGCGCACGCGAAAAATACACTGGCCGTCCGTTATGGGTTAAAGGAGGAATTCACGATTAGAATGAAGGTCGAAGAAAGGGAAACTGACCTAGTTGAGGGACCCACGGACCTCCTGAGGGTGCGAACTGACGCGCAATTCGCATGGAAAAATTTGACCTCGGCGACCTATCATGCCTCAAAGCTGGCGGGTCCGGCGATCTCCGCCCACCGATCATCTGATCACTCGCCGTAGTTCAATACGTGGCGAGTGATTAGATAGCTGAGAGAGCGTAGTGTTGAAGAGGGCACAGCGATGAGAGTCGCATCAATGCTCAAATCAACGGGCAAGGAAGGGGTCCCATTTCTCGGGTTCTGGGCCGTTTCTCATGGTTCTTCCTTCTTTCGTGTACCACTCACCATCCCTAGGTTAATTTGAAATGGGTTGCTTTTTCATCGTGAATTCGTCCTTTAAGGAGGCCACATTGTTCTGCTTCTGTTCGAAGTAGCGCGATAATTCACTCGGTTAAGCTAGGTGTAGGCAGGTTTGGGCGGATTGTTGCCCGGATCAAGCTACAATTGGCCGTTGCTGTCCGAGCAACGTC